CACCTCCCTCCCGGCTCTGCTGGGCGGAGGCCCCAACCACATTCCCCACATGTCCAGACCAGCACCTGGCTGAGGCATCCAGAGATAGAAACCTGTTATTCAAAAGGTTTTACACACTGCTGTAAATCAAAAAATAAGGGGAAAGTTTTAAAGAAACGAATACGATGGTTATGAGATTATTGGTACTTCTCTATTTCATTGCGTAGATGTGTGCATGCACACACACATATATTTCTACACGTTTGTGTGCATATTTATTCAGTATGAGTTTTTGTTGAAAATAGTCCAGAATTCCTGTTTCTGAGTTCCTTATTTACAGCACTCTGCTCAGACACAAACCAGGGGAGGCTTGGTTTTGGTCCCATGGTTTTGGCTTTTGCGTCTGCAGAGGCAGCATAACAAGTCAGCACTCAGGAGCAAGGGGAAAGCACTTATTTTCACTGTATTTGATAACAATTTACTGAAGATGATGCCCAGGGAGCCTTCCATTGGAAGAGAAATCCGCATCCCGAAGCTCAGTACTTCAAAGGCCCTGATAACCCCAGGAAATGGGAAAACACCGCTTACGCCCATCACCCACTGGAGACTGTCCATTCTTCTGGGAAACAGCAACCTGAGCGGCAATGTCTCCGAATCAGCCTCATCTCAGAATCCATAAATAATTCATGGAAGATATCAATTTATTTCTAGGAAAGGTGGCCAAGAGAGAGTTCTGGGTGTTTACTAATAACATGGCCCTGGAAACTCCATCCTATTGAAACGATTCCTGTTCTTGGCAGGAGAAACTTGTGCTCAGGGTTGAATCCACACCCTTTTAAAAACATGCCATTGATTTTGCATAGCTAATGACACTGAAATGGGGACTGTTTAGAGACAAGTATGAGCAGAGACCAGCTTCCCCCAGGGGTGTGCACATGTGCAGGAAACTGAAGAACTCAGTCCTGTGCCATTTGATGACTAAACTCATTTTAAGCTACAGAGGCCTTGCTTCAGTTTTCCCCTGTGCTATTCAGAATTCAGACCAAATTTTATCTTATAAGTAGAAGAAGTAGCTGCAAATAATTTCATGCCCTGCCAATGACATAGGCACCAATTTTGAACAAAATGCTCATAAACTCTTTTTATGATGCTGTAAACCTGGAGAGCTCATGCCCATTAAAACATAAGCTTCACGTTACATGTAATTAAGGCAAGGAGGAGAACGTAAAAATGTAAGTTTTGAAATGTATCTTGTATTACATATTAAACGCACACAGAAAACGCTGCCTAAATTCCATTTCAAAGGCCGAGGTGAGGACAGGGAGGAAAGGTTATGGTGGGTGAATGATTCCACGGGTGAAAAATATTGAGAGGAAAAAAGGGTTGCTATTTAAGGTTCTTCAGGGGCTATATTATATTGATGGGTAGAGGTCATTTTTTCTATTTTTCCCAATGATAAATAAGAAGGTATCATTAAAAGCACATTCAGCTGCTATTTGGTTAATCTAGGTTATAATTTTGGGTCCAACCAAGTTTGAAAATTATTACTTATTTTTCGTTAAGAATGAGACCCTCCAAAGTGACTTGCGTATTAAGATGAGGTTGGAAGAGCTGTCCATCATCTGTCAAAGGCAGCTGGAGAGGGTGCTCATAGTTTTTATCCATCCCAGAACCCAATGAGGGAGGAAGCTCTCTCCTGGAGCGAAGACCTGTGCTGTTCTTGGAAGGAATGATTTAAGGCTCAGGCTTGAAGCCACGCCCTTTCAACCTTGTTCTAATTGTGATCGGCTGAATGGATTAACTGAAGCCACATTTGCCTCAGCGTTGGCATTTTGTACCATCTTCTCACCTCCATATATTTACTGCAAAGGGACATCAACAATTCTGAATCCCAGATCTTCAGTTATTCATGTAAGAAACCTATGGAAGACCCAACAGCCTCGAATATGAGTGAGGATTTGTGAATATATGATTGATTATATGGTACAACATACGCCTGTGCTAGTTTAATGTTCTTAAATTTTCTATCATTTAAATTCATGATTTCATTTTAAAGACATATGATTATAGGCCAAATAAAAATTAAATTATAGACTGTAAAGAAAATTAAAATGTTGACCTTGATGGCATTCACTGAGCTTTCAATCTACAAATTTTGAAAAAACTTTATTATAGATAAAAAAGGAAATACAACTGAATAAAATATAGAAATAAGTCACATACCATCACCATTAAGTTGCTTAGCTTACCCCTAAAAACTGTGTCAAATTGGTGTACTTCACCAGCCAACCATAAAATAAGTCATTACATAGCTCAGAGTCATGTTATGGTCAAGAGACCATGTGACTTCTGAATTCTGATGTACAAATGATCACATATAAGTACTTCACTTTTTAAAAATATCTAAACATTTTAATAAATTTTATAGAAATTATTGTTTCATGTAATAAAAATAATTTGATGCTATACATAAATTTCTCAAGTAAATATCTTGGTTAGATATATTAAATGTCTTCTTATAATGAGCCAGTCAGCATAAATCAAGTTCAAAACCTAATCTACCTAAATATGATGACTCTGTAGAAACATAAAACCTTTTTATGGTGTTTTCTCTAAAAGGGGCTGTTTTAATTTTATTCTTTCTATTAGTTGGGTTTAAGGAATTATCTTCATTTACATTGCAAATAAGCTTACAAATTGGAAATATTCCTGATAAGTTTTAAGAATTAGTACTTTGAGTGTGTATTAAGTGTGTTAAAGCATAGTGACCTGACATTTAATAGAGCCATAAAACACATTCTTTATATTTCAATGAACATAAAGAAAACAAATGGAGCACCATTTAGGGAGGACTGCATGGTCTATATCAGAAAGAAATGAGTTCTACAGCCCCCTACACCAAGTGAATGAATCATAAAAGAAATATGGAAGCTGATAATAGCAGTTTCTGCAGCAATAAAAGCATGATAAAAGGCTCTCTGACAGTATGAAATCTTGGAAGCCCTGCCAAATACAAAACCTAGTTTGTAGGCACTGGAGTACCCTGCTGTCTTTAGCAGGTCCTCGGGGTTTCTAACAACTTCTGGTTCATCCCCTGAAGTCTAAGTGATCTATCAAAATGCACTAGTTTCCAAGAGCAATCAAAATCATTTGAACTTTAAAAATACATTGAAAAATAAAAACCAAAAAAACTACAGTGAGACTTTTCAGAGCAATTACTCCTCAATCCAGTCAAAATGGTAGAATCTACGGTAGTATCGTTTTGCACTTGGACACAGGGTTTTGACGTTACCAGCCCATATGAGCTTACGCAAAATTGTGTTTGTTCATTTTAAGTATCATAATACTAGCCACTGATTTTGATCACATTTTTTGATTTGTTTCTTTTTATAAGATGAAAATTCATAGAGAAAAAAATTTAGATACTTATGATTCTTTCAGTACTTGCTCAACTCAAGGAGTCCATAAGATAATATTTACTAAGATGGTAACCCTGATTATCTCTCCAGGCTCTTAACCTTATTATTTTAGATCCCTGCTCCCCTGCGCAATGCCAAAACATTACAGCTTTGAAATAACTCTTGTTGGGTTACATAATCTTGACTAGTTTTTGTGTTTCCTCTTGGACTCCTTCAGTGAAATGGAACTAAAGGAAGAAACTTCAGATGCAGAAAAGTATTATTTTTTCCCCATAAACATTACCAGAATGATTTCCTTTTCAAAAATCAGTGATTTTATCCAATGCTGTCTAAGTGGGAGTGATTGTTTCGTAGCGATGACTGCTAGGCACAAGGATAGCTAACATGAGGAAGATGGAATGACCCAGTGTAAACCCCACCAGGAGGCAATGGCGAGTCCTTCTTTTTTATATGTCCCTACAGGGTTCAACTCGCCAACTTGAATGGTTGGCAAGTAGCACACTGTGCCTTTAAACACACATGCATACACACACACACAATGTCAATAGTAATGCTTGGAAATGCTTATGCGGTTATTCTCGACCTTTAATATTACCAATGCTTTCTTTAGTTTAGTTTAGTTTAGATTAGATACTAATCAATTCTTACCAAAAATAATACACTTCCTTTAAGTTTTACATCTAAAAGTACATTAAAATGTCTACTCCTATTTTTTTTCCATTCAAAATATTAACTTGCTAAGCATGCAAATACACACACACACCCTTATTTCCCCAAGGTAAAATAAATAGTATTTTTTTTAAATTAAGGATTAACTAAAATGATTCCCAGCATTTCAGTGCCTTATCTTAAAAAAAAAATTAAAAAATTAAAAACGTTTGTTACTGCACCATATTCAAAAGTTTTGGTCATTGTTCAGTAGGGAGTTTTATCTGATCAAAATTTAGACTATCAGGTTGGGAGTATAGTTATCGTATTACACCACACGCCAGTAGTTGAATCTGCACGATAACATTCCTGCTCAGTGGCCACTGTTTGTGTGGTTGTATGTCTCCAATAAAAAAGGAAATAAAAGATACTCTCTGAACACAGTCTATTATTTGTAAGACATTTATTAATATTATCATTACAATTGTGTCTAAAATCCATTATTACTTCAGTGGTGAAGAAGTAAATGCCAGACAAACCTCAGTCAGACAGTTATTGCAGTTAGGTCGACAGTTAATTACAAGAAACACCCACTGACTATAATCCTGTTACAGAGTAAGTAATACAATAAAACTTGGTAAGAGGCTGCTTGAATTGGCAACATTTTATTTCATTAAAAAAATGATTGAAAACCTAAAAATGGTGCTTGCACATAGCTGAAGATATTAGAAAAACCTTTCATTTAATTAAATTAATTAATTAGTTTGTTTATTTATTTATTTCCATCGAACCGACAACCTTGTTACTCACTGAGCAATCATGGCTGCTCAGTTGCTGGGGGCACAGCCCACCATCCCATGTGGGTATCAAACTGGCAACCTTGTTGTTAGGAACATGGGCTCTCACCAGCAGAGCCATCCTGCCACCTGTTGGCAGCTCAGCTCAGGCACAGCTCATGGGTCCATATGGGAATCAAACCGGTGACCCTGTTGCTCAGAGTTTGTGCTCTTAACCAACTGAGCTACTTGGCTGACCCCAACCTTTGATTTTAAAGCTTAATTCTGTACCATTCTTTTAAAAAATCCATCAGATGCAGATATGTATTGTTAATATTAACAAGTGGTATTTGTGCGTAAATATAATTTAAGACAGTTAAATATAAATTCATGTTTACTTTCATATAAAAATATATATAAAAATAGAGTATTTAAGGGCAGTGAGTATTCATACTAAGCAACTGATCGATCAAAATAATTTTATTTTTTTTTGTAAGGTAATGAAATTGAGGTATTTGTACATTTGGTAATTTCAACCATGTATTAAATTGACCCTCTCAGCTCCCCCCCCCAAAAAAAAACCCTTTAAAAACCATTGTAACTTTGAGATATCTCACAACAAATCATTTGTAAAGAAATTTACTATTTTGAAACTAAAATATAGAAGAGAAAGCTCTCAGTACTAGAATTACATACGTTTTATATGTATGCCACTGTTTTAGTAAAAAAATAATTTATGCCTACTCTAAATTTGGATTAGATATAGTTGTTCAGGAAAAGAAAAATGTAGTTACTAGTATTTGTAGACATATACAAATGCTTTATGGAAATAAATGCCTAGGCACTTGAGAACACTGCTCCTTTGCAAAACATTTACATAAAACATAACTGTAATCTTATATTACATAGGGCTTTCCTACAAAGCTTTTTACAGTTTCCTAAGTAATATTATCAATGAAACATAATAAAGTAATACATGAAGAAGTATAGCTTGTTTCTCACTTTAAATTACATATTTAATCAACGTTGACTGCAGTTACCCATCCACGTTCACAGGCAAGATAGGGGAATGTTTAGAAAAGGTACAGCGCAAAGTTAGATATACGGGTATTTTAACTGTAAAACAGGGAACTTCTTATCTCGCTCATAGAATCTATTTGGATTCCCTTGTGAAGCATCCCTGTTCTTTTCCTTTCAGTTATAAAATTGAAAAAGTATACAAAGAAATCCTTTTCACAAACATTAGATTCACAAAGCTGAAACCATCACAAACGCTACATTGTCACCTGGTAAAGGACACAAATGCAATCCCTATTTACAAGTGGAATGTAATTGCTTTTTTACCCTTTTCAGTATTAATGTACCAATAGAGAAGATAACACAACACTCAAGAGCATTATCCTTCCCCTCTCCCCCACATAATTCAAGTGTCTCCTTTTCTCTTTATTATCACAAGGCAATACCCAGCTCACCGTAGTTCTAGTTGATTATATTTCAACTCACCTTTTCTTAGCTCTACCTTTCACCAACTGATTTTCAAGCGCACATCTTGACTTTCTAAAGCTACAGGAAAATAGCGTTATTACTTTTTTTTAGCTGTGTGTGCATTGGTGTGTAAGTGTATGTTGGTGTGCAAGAGTGCATGCGGTCGACCCAAAATACATGGGATGTACAGGGTTTAGTTCTTAGATAACCACCCAGGTGAATGGCTTGTCTTCAACTCCAAGTTCAGTCTCCCTGCAGGGAGTCTACACAGCTCCTTTACTCGCGCACATCCTGCTGAGAAGGATTTCCGAGCAGACTTCATTAATGGGACCTCTGACATGATATGGCGATTGGTAATTTATGACAGAGTCCTGTTGTTGTTGCTGTAGTTTGTTTTGATTGCTGAAATATTTTCCCACAATGTGATTTCTTGACTGTTTTATTTTAATAAAGTGATGTTCTTTGGATAACTTGGATTTCACTACCTGCAAATCAAGAGCAAAACAAACAAAAAAAAAACAGTGAAGCAAAATCAAGGACATTTGAGCCCTGCATCGAGCAGTATAGCTAATTCACAAAGTTGAACGTCATCTCTATGACATAGAGGTTGCCTCAAGGGCATACATATGATTTAGGTAACCAAGAACCAGAGTATCTTAGTTTTTAGGAAAGACGAAGGTTGAAATTAGAATTCCTGCCACTCCTCTTACCTCAGGATATCTGTCCCCAGTGCAACTAAAGGAGAGTGTTAGATGGTTTCTGTACCACGCTGCCCTGTGCGTATATTTGCACGAATTCGGGCCAGATGCTAACATATAAAGAAGACACTGACGTGCTTTTGCTGAATCACTGATTCAAACATGGTACTCTAAACCTGTCAAAGCACCCCCTTCTAGAATGGCAACCAAAACTATTATCAGAACAAAATTATGTTTTCACTACACAGCCATAGCTGACAATGTTACACTTCGTGGTTTCATTTCTCTGGGCATTTAATAATTTACAGAATCCAAAGGAGTAGCCTAAGCCCTATTAAGCAAATAACTTTATACATGTTTATACAGATGTAGATATACTTTTATCTTAAAATGTTATTGAATAGATAGCATTATAAACATTTATAAAGCCTAAAAGGGTATATAATAAATAATTTCCTTCCCATCTATGCCCCACCTCCTTTTCCAGAGGCAATATATATTACTAGTTTCTTTGTGATTCTAGTCACAGATATTTTATGAATATCAACAACATATATACAAACATAGAGGCTGTATTTACTGTCTATTTGTACAGTTTACAAAAAGCTGCCCTGGTGAAATCTTACAAGTTTGCTTTAATCACTGGGTTAATATAACTCAACTTGTTAGCACCAATGATCAGAGAGAATGAAGTTGGGAACCAAGACAGACATGGCGGGGGAGAGTCAGGAAGTGGGAGGAGAGAAAATGCTGGCAAAGATGTTTTGAATGTCTTTACAAATGAATACCAAATATGAATTTCATCATATTAATGCAATTGTAGGACATTAGTTTTGGTCAATATAGACACACAAACAAGTTATTTTTGATGACTAACGAAGGCAACAATAGCTAAAATGAATTTTTTCCCCTCTTTTGAATGTTTTATAATGATTTAGATACATGTTTTGATCCCATGCAAGAGAATGCAATAAAAACAATTCCTAAAATACAAAATACTTGAAAAAAATCACAATATCTATTTTGAAAATAAGTATTTTTAGTCATGTGGCAAGTGAGCATGAAGCTTTTTATGATTTTTTTTAAAAATAGAAATTCTGTAACGATTGACACCAAATGTTAACAGTAGTGACTTTGGGCGGAAGAATTACAGATGATTTAAAATGTATTCTTCATAACTTTTGGTCTTGACTTTTAAAATTTAAGACAATGTGCATTACTTCATAATCATAAAAATGTTCAAGCTATTCCCATTTTGAAAAAAAATGTAATAGTAATGCATTTTTAAATCAATTATACTCTAGTAGCCCCAAAGAAATGAATTGTTTTCCTGCAGTTATGGGATGGTTGGCTTTTCGTGTTCAGTCCCTCAGATGAAGTGATTCTTAAGAAGTCCAGTGAAATCAGCGGTTTGTGGTAGGAATCCCTGTGGATCACAATTTAGAGCTCAGTTTGCAGTGAACCACTGATTAATATTCCAGGTCCCAGGGTTGTAAGTTTCTATTATGTGCAGTTCCTTCCATGTCTGTTTGGTTATACTACAATTTCAAATATGGGAGACTGGTGAGGTCCACCCATGTTATCTTCAAGGTCGTGTCCATGTGCCAGGAGGTCTGTACTCAGTGATAACAAGATTAGTGAACATTTTTAAAGTTTATTTAAGCAGAAATATTACATTCAATCCTGGAAAAATATTATTCCAGTGTTCTGAAGCCAAAATAACATTAATTTTGTTTATATAATTTTATCTTAAGTTCTGGCTTTTGCAATTGCCTGATGAGCTGCATGCTAATTACATGTAAAGTAGAAAAAGGTCCATCCTGATGTAAAAGTTAGAGTACTTTAAAAATTATTTTAACGTGTTGTGTGATTTCAGGGTTGTGTTTCGTGTTGCATCACAAAGGTTGGATAATGCTAGTGCAGGTGTGTATAGCAATCTTAAATGTGATTCATAAAAGGGATACACAAAAACACATATTTGCGTTGTATTTGCTGAAGCAGATAGCTTTCACTGAGAAGTAATGCCAATATTTTGCTAGATCACAATGGGAAGGTCGATAATGTATTTCTATTTTTAAATCACTAAGGTGATCTCTGAGAAGGATGGGATAATGGGGTCTCCTCCAGCTTCTGGGGGCTGGCTTAATGCCTCTTAAAGTGCCAGTGCTCCCTTTATGCTTTTCAACATTGACTCCCACACACCATGCCAGGGATTGGCTGAACAACAGTTAATTTAGTTGGTTTCCTTTAAAAACTCTTCTGCAGGAAATAATGATAATAAGTTTCTTAATTCCTTTTTTAAGCCAGCATCACCCTGTAACTGAATCCTGAAAGCTGACAAACCTACAGAAAAAAAATAATTTCAATTTTGATTTATCAAAATAACAGATGTAAAAAATCCTCTCAAAATGCTACTGTAAATTGAATCCAGGAGGCTTTAAAAAACTCTAGCAGCATAATGTGCCATACCACTAGCACATACAATTTATTTCTGGAATGCAAGTTTTAATAGAATGAAATGTTGTGTTATAGGAAATTACCGAAGAATTATTTGCTATATGATTGGTTACTTTAAAAACCCAAAAGAATCTACTGAAAAATAATGAGATACTATACAGCTAATATTTAAAAATGAAAAAGCTTTTCTATATTTTATCAGCAATGCAAAAGAAATATATTTGAGAAAAAATCCCAACACAGTACTAAAACAACTTCATTAAGTTCAACAATGATGGAGGTGAAGAATACATAAAAAATTTAATGAGACACAAAAGAAATGATAAACAAATGGAAAGACATACTATGTCAAGCCTTTCCAAGTTAATTATAGTGCTACTCCAATTGTAATCACAGAAGGATTTGGGGGGAGCTTGACAAAAAAAATTCTAAAATAGGTCTTTAAGAGTAAATGTAAGAAAATAACCAAGGTCATCTAAGAACAATAAAAGCAGTAATGAGAGGGCCTTTCAATACTAGACGTCCATTCACCAATATTAATTGAGTTTGCTACCATCAGCCAACCATGTACTCAGTTAGTTGATTGTATAAGCAGAATTCAATACTGAGAGAGCAAGAATAGGAATGCTTGTACCGTGGGTTAAAATGCATTTCATAAACTGCTACTGTTCCCTAAAAATGTTTATGGAGAAGGTAGTTCTAAACAAGGTAGAGAGGTAGTTCTAAACAAAGCCCAATGTTCTGTAAGTCCAGTGACCATAAATGTTAATAGCCTTATAGTTTTAATTGCATGGGATTAAAATCAAGATTGTATGTTTACGATGAAGCTGTGTACCCAACTGTGAATAGCATCCGATCGAGAAAGGAGTGAGAATTGAGACGTGTACACAGTGAAAAGGCAGGAATCTTTTGTTTTTATTGTATATACTAATCTTTAAATTTTTTAGAGTTAGAAAGAATTCATGCAATCCTTTTATAATAGAAAAACAGTAGATGCAAAATGATGTCGTATCTTATGACGTTAAAATTTAACGATTCTTTTTTTCCCTGTAATATCCACCTTTCAATCTCCAGAGTTCTCTGCGTTTGGAAACACATGGAGTAATTCAGATATGATCCCTACCCTCAAGGGGACTATATAAAGACACATGTCTAAGATACTTGAAGTAAGAACAAGAATGAAATGACTTCAAAGACATTGTATGAGACTAGCTCCCAAGGTCAGGCACCATGTTGTTTCCATGTCATGAATAGTTCTTAGTACTTTAAAGAGACTTAGTGCTAATTTATGGTGGGCATGATAATCTGTTCACATGGCTATGATTTCTTTGAACTTATTTGTAAAATTTAGTATCCAGCATTGACGTCAAACAGCTATTTCTGAGTTTCAAAATATTACCTTGTTTTACCTACTCTGCTGGGCTCTAACATGAAGGAAAAGGAGTTAGCTATATTTTACAGCTTGAAAATGTTACGCAAGTGAAAGATGTTTGATACCTGTACAATAAAGAGCAAATTGCTCCTTTCCTTTGATCTCATCTGTGGAAATGTGCCCGTTTGGGTCCTTCCCAAAATCAGAGGACTATTTGGGATTATTAAAATCCAACTAAAGTGTCAAGTGGAATGTAGCTTTGAAAGAGAGCTCTTAGCAATACAAACGTTAGTTTATCTCTGGGGAATAAATAACAATAATAATAATAATAATAATAATAATAATAATAATAATAATAAATGAGTTATTAGAGCATCAGTGAAAGATTTAGGCCTTGAACCAGAGACAAGACTATGCAGTGTTTATATGCAGTGTTCACCCCAATCAGAGACAAATTCTAATATGTTACACTCCCAAATGCTTCTCTAAATTTGGGTGCATATGACTTTACCACAAAGAAAGAGACATGTCAGGAATAAGAAACTACTACATATGATTAATAATTCATATATATGTGAATTGGCAAATGTTTATATTACTTTAAACATGAGTGTTAAATCACTATTTTTTTTGCCACTTTGCAATAAGCCGAAGTAACCCCTTGTCTTTAGGTTTTTGTTATTTATTTTCCTTTTATGAATTTTCAGTGTCAAATTATATTTAAAATTAGGAAGATATAATGAAGGAAATTGGTCCTAACCTGTCAGATCAGCATTGTTCTAGAATCACAAGTATAAGTGTAATAAAAATTACTTTTCTCACAGCGATGTGCAAAATTTAGATTAAGTTACCTACAGGAATAGACTGTCAAGTGAAGATTATAGTGTTTCAAACAATAATATATTTTTAATATATTAGTTATAGAAACTTAGAAAGGAGTAATTTTGGAGCTGGAATC